CGTAAAATATATAAAAAAAGTTAATTTATTATCTTAAGAATTTTAATGGTATGCACTTTGTCATTTATATTAGGGGAAAATAAGATAAACAAATGTTTACGAATTTTTCCATGTAGTATTGTTTTAATAGGTATTACATTTTTGGACAAGCAATTTTTTTATTAAAATACGTTACAAATCTTTATTGTCATGTCATTGCGAATAACGTATCGATAAGTCAAATTGCGATTACGACTCGAAAAGGTTTATATCGTTTTTTTTAAACAAACAACGATAAACTTATTTCAATCGAGTACGTGCCGTTTATTATGTAGTATAATAAGTAATTAATCAGACTAAATTATAGGTTTTTTTTTGTTGTTTCATTATCCTAAATCACTGTGCTAATGGTAACCATTTTTTTGCTTATTTGTTTTGGGTATCTTTTAAAATTTCTTAATCTTTTTCAAATAGATTACAGACATTTTTGTTCTACTTTAGAATCTAACAATGTGTCTTTATTTTAAATTTTAATGTACTGAGTTTGTTAATATTCTTGTTTTAATATTTTGCGAAAAATTTGCGGTCAGTGACCGGCAGTCGTTTTTAACGTGTGCCACCAACTCGAGCGTTTTGAGTAAGTTTCAATTACAGTTGGCCCGGTCATTGGTTGTTAGTGTGTGTGTGTGTGTGTATGTGTGTGTGTGTTTGTATGTGTATGTGTGTGACAACCGGTTACTTGCATAATATTCACGTCTATATCTTTAATGAGAAAAACATTTAAAGATTGTAAGATTATTTCGCACGCGTTTCCCCTCTCCGACAAATATCTCTGTATCAATAATGTATACAGTTTGTAGCACTATCAAAAGAAATGTGTATAACCATCTTACTACGTCAGAGTGTAACCCTCGATGGAAAATAGTGACTTGTTGTGAATCTTTAACGAAAGACATTCGTCAAAGTTGGCGTATGAATTTATAAATTCATTTATGTGAATACAAACAAAAATTTGTAACGATTTAGGCCACGACTAATGTGTTAAATTAACGGTAGTGATAATCGTTTACAACGTTTGTCTGTATACATAAACCAGCAGATTACCTTCCAGAGTTTTTTGGAGTAGATATAACTGCGTATAGCGTGTAATTAATACTACAACATAAAGGCATTGAAGAAAAGAGGAAGTAATTTGGAACTTGCCGTGTTCAATTGAAAAACTTCTAATTATGTTGAAAGACTGCTACAATGTGATTTAATATAAATTTTTGATATTTTGGATGGATTTCACAGTGGCTTATCGGTTCCGTTTTACAGCTGAGTTTAGTTCGTGTAGACGGCCAAGGGAAGAATCAATTAAAAATTAACGCTTTCGTAAGATTTTTAACCGGTACAAATTGTGTGTTTACAATCCATGAATTGAATGTACGGATAACTTATAACGATTCCTTATACTGAGATGTATCACTTGATAACAGCGCTTATCTTCTACAATTGTACTATTAAGTAGCTGTGTCCCATCTTTAAAGGGAAATGAATTCTACGATACGTTAAACAATGTAAAAGTAAAATTAATATTTAAGTGGTGTAATCTAGAAATTCTCAAAACATTTTTTTTTAATCAGAGTGTGTTCATATAAACTTAATTTTTAACTTTATTATGTAAGATATATGTATAACAGCGTCAGTTATAACACACACATATTGTTATTATTTACTAAATAGTGGTCAAATGTATACAAAGATCATCTAACAAATGTAAAAAAAAATCGTTACGAATTCGTACATCTTGTTTTATATGTTACCATCATAAAGTTAAGTCATATTTATACTATTGAGGCCATTGCACTCCTACACAGCCACAGTGTATAATCATTTCAATGGATAAACCAGGAGACCTTAAGCAGTCAGTGTTATCAAACATTGTCGATAAAGTAAATTTCTGATTACAAACAAAGTTCAATATTTTCTAGTATGATGCAATAGTGGAAAATTTACAAGTTGTCAGTAGTATTTTTAAGACATTTCATTGATATATTTTGATGTCTGATTACTGAGAAATTAACATTTAAAGTTGCCTCATAAATTTTATATTTTGATCAAAGTCCGCGCACCATGTTCGTGTTATTCCACGTTTATTTATATGTATTGTATTTATTATTCGATTAAATCATTCAAGGTCGTTGCATATCAAAAAAAAAAAAAAAAAAAAA